GCCATCTTGGGGCTGTGGCTCCCCACAGTTCCCCCTTTTTTATTTAAAAATAATACAACAGGCAAGGGTAGAGGTCTGATCCCTGAAATCAAGGGACTTTATAATGACCCCACACCCAGTTATCAGCTGAGCTGGTGTCACACCTGTCTGGTATCTTTTCTCAGAGATGGGAGTATGATACCAACCCATATGCAATCAGACATGCCCTTCATGAAGCCACTGAATGCTGACTTCAAGTGCAGTACTTCGTCTCACAGCCTGAGCCGGATGACTGCTTAGCACTTTAGTACTGTTAGCCAAGCCTGAGGTGACTGCCCTGCCTCCAGGGCTGCGAAGGCTTGTGCAATCATGGCAATACTTCTCTGCTGTGTGACCCTCACCCTGCAGATACACCATAAGGCTATGAAACTAACTAGGATAAGCATTCCTCCTAGGGCACCCATTCCCGCCCACTCTTTCATGGCTTGAGTGATCCATGCAGACAGTCCTTCAGCAACAGAGACATCGACCCAGGGGGAATTCACATTCACAATAGAGAGGTTCTGCATCAATTTGTCGAAGTTGCCAGACCAATTACCTAAAAGATACTGAGAAAGATGTTTAGACATATTGGCTGCTAACGAATCATCTTCCACTCACATCCTAGTTGCACCAACTGCCACAGGGCATTGACCTGTTCCTGAACTAGGTCAATGTACTGGTCCAAAACCATAATACCGCCTTTTAAATGAGCATTAAGGGAAGACTGCACATCCAAAGCGGTGGCTACATTAGCTGACAAATTATTTAATCCGTGGTGCCTCCTACAGCTGCAGCTAATCCAGAATGTGGCCTAATATGTTGAATATAAAAGGGCTGTGAACGCCTCTAAATCAACTCCTGCAGCTGTATTATATATGTCTGAATAGGGCTATTTACCTTCACCTTCCCGGCAACTTCCAAATCTTTCACCAAATTAACAACATAATTGGAATCTGAAATTAAAGGCCTCAGGGTTGGCCATCCCTCCTCTTGAGGGTCCTCGATGGCCCCATATATTTGAGGGCCCTGAGGTCAGGGGACCCTCTGCCCATTTTTTAGATGGGCTCCTCCATATTGCTGTGTCAGAGGCTGACCATGGATATCTTTTACTGATCTACACTCATTGGCCCAATGGTTCCCCTTTTTACATTCTGGGCAGAGACCAGGTTGCTTTGGGTGGTTCCCAGTTCCTGGCTCATGCCGGCTTCTGCTTTCAGGGCATTGCCTTTTAAGGTGCCCCATCTTTCCACAGCAGAAGCAAGTTCCTTTACTTCCCTTCCGGGCTTGCTTAAGTTTCGTGTCCTCGGCCGTGAGACCCGCATTGGTCAAGGGTCCACCTAGCTTCCTGCATACCTTCATCCAGGCCTCTAATCCTTTGTTTTTATAGGGAGTGATTGCCGCCTTACATTCTTTTGTGCATTGTTCAAAGACAAGGTGTTTTATCAAGGGCATGGCCAGGTCGGGATCTCCAAATATCCTTCCAGCTGCCTCAACCATTCTGGCAACAAAGTCGGAAAATGGTTCCATGGGGCCTTGAATGATCTTAGTAAGATTGCCACTCACTTCTCCTTTATTGGGCAATGATTTCCAGGCTCGAGTTGTTATATTATTAATTTGCTGGAAGACCTGTAACAGATATCCTATCTGTTGCTGAGCGAATCGGCCTGGCCTCAGGAGCATGTCCACATCCCAGGCTGCGTTTTCTACTGCACGATTGACAGCAGCCTGCTCATTGGCATATTCTATTAAAAAGGCTTTCCAATCTAAATATTGTCCAGGGGATAAAGAAGTTCGCACCAAGCTCATCCAGTTGCTTGGAGTCATGCAATGGTGATTAAGAGCTTCAACCTGTGCTGTTGTAAAAGCTGAGGTTACCCCATAAGTGCGGACAGACTCAGCAAGCGCTTTAATTGTTTTGAAATCAAGGGGCTCATGATAGCGCTGCTCCTCGTTATTCTGAAAGACAGGATAACACAACTCATGTCTCACTTCTTTCCATACCTCGGGGCAAAAGGACTGCCCCCCCCCCCCGGAGCTGCTGGGAGAGGAAGTTACGTTATATGGAGGAGGGGGCAGTCCTGGAGCAGTAGGCTCCACCTCACAGGACTCAGAGCGCGTCCACAAAGATGACCTCTCCATTTTCTTCACTAGCAATTCTAGTTCCTCTTCCGATTCTGAACTACTCTCTTCAGAACTGTCCTTTTCTGATATCATTGAGCACTCCTCCTTCAGCTGTTCTAACACCTCCTGCCCCTTTTCTAGCTTCAGCCCTTTAGAGTGCAACAGCTCTTGAAGAGCGAGATAAATGGGTTGCGATGTCAAATTCCCCATACTTTCATTTTTGGTTACTTCTACTTTGTCCGTTCCCGGAACTTTATCACTCCTTACTGGAGACCTTATTGCCTCTTTACCAAGGTCCTTAACTTGGTCCCAACTTACCTGGGATTTACCAGTCGACTGCCCTGACTGCAGGAAGTTCTGAGCCGTTCACCCACAGAGAGAGGTTCCCAGTACAGGCCACCACTTGTCTCGTCTATCTCGACCAGCAAGAGAAACACAACCATGACTCTTCTTCAAGCAGTTTATTCAGGAACCTTGTACATCAGCTCCCACCCCCCCCCCCCCCCCCCCCCCCGCAAGCCCTTAAAAGCAAGCTCATTTCCCAATTAGCTCACGCCACCTGGCAATCCCGGATAGGTCACAGCTGGAGGAGGCACACCAGATCCACTAAGTGCTTCCAAATAAGGCTTGTTTATAGCTAAGCTCAGTCTCCCTGGCATCCAGCCAGGTGCCATCTTGGGGCTGTGGATCCCCACAAACAAGTACTTCAAGCAGCAAGCAATAAGAGTCATAACAGAGTCTTGAAGAAACTGAACACATGTTGAAGCTGAACCTACATGCAATGATTATGACAAATACACCATTCTAGTATAGGTCAGAAATCACAAGCTCTGGGGGATGGAAAGCAGCATGCTGACAGGCCAGTCAAAGAAGGGAGCAGCAGAGGGGAAGCCTGAAGATAATGACAGGAAGTAAGCCTGTGGGTGGAAAAGGCTGTGACTACCAAGAAACCAACATTGGACAAGAAACCAGTGGAAGACAGTGAACCAAAGAGGAAAAGAAGCCTGCTGCATAAGCAACTGGATTCGTTTTATTCCACAAAGAGCACATAGAAAACCTATTTGAATAAAGACCTGGTCAAAGATACAATAGAGGAAAAGTGCTGTTTCTTCCTAATGGCTTCTAATTTTGAGAAAAGATGACTCATCAACCTTTCTCTTGATACACAATCTGTGCTGCCTGTATTCTACTGTAAGATAAAATAATCCAAATGCTAATTACCAACAGCATGGAACAGTGGGGAGATACAGAGCCATGGACAATATTGTTTATTGTTGTGGGAAATAAGATGAAAGTCTAGCTTCTGTGGTTAAGGAAGGGACAAGGGAAACAGCAGCTAGGGTATGTTTCTCCTGAGAAACACGAATAGTAGAAGAGTATGAGGCAGACTTCATAAAAAGTACCCAAAGATGGGTGGGAAAGACCTGGAGAAAGAGGGCCCACTATGAAACACAATTGGTGTTGTGTTTAATGAACACATGATAAACAAAATATGTCCAGCTTAAGACAGACTGAGAAGGGAAAGAGGTTCAGTAGTGTTGTGAGAGAGGGCAGAGCACAGATATTTTAATCATTTTAACTAAAATAGAGGACTTCTAAGGATCTTTCTGGTAGGAATGCACAGATAAGTAATATTTTGTCCCCTTTCCCTTTTTAATATACTTTTGAGTATATTGTCACACAATACTCTAAGTAAATAATCCCAGAGATATTTACATGCCCTCATTGACTGCAGCACAAATTCTGAAACCAACCTAAGTATCCATTAAAAGATGAATCGATAAAGAAAAGTTGATTTCTGTCATAAAGAAGAATAAAATACATCATTTTCAGGGAAATGGATACAACTGAAGGTCATAGTAATTGAAATATGCCAGATGGATACATTATTTTCTCTAATTTGGGGGCCTTATAATTCATTGCATATATATAAAACATAACTATGCATATACATTTATACATATGCATGTATAGCCCCATAAATTGCATGTGTGTGTGTGTGTGTGTGTGTGAGAGAGAGAGAGAGAGAGAGAGAGAGAGAGAGGAGTGTGTGTGTGTGTAAAGGAAACTGAGTGATGGAAGCAGACAAGCAGGAGGGGAAGGAGAAAGAGTGAATCTGGTTAAAACATACGACATATTTGAAAGAAATCATCATTATGACTCTACACTATGCACAATGAATATACACTGATTTTCTTTAAAAAAGTGTTTTAAAAACTCTATTCTGTAACTTGTTTTGACAATATTCTGCTTTTAAATTTGTATCACCTTCCATAAGCATTTCATTTACCTAATGAAAAACATATTTAAAGTAATGAGTACACAGTATTTTAATTTGCATATGCAAATGAATTTAATCAGTAGGAAACTCTGGCAGAGGAAAGTATCTGAATGTAATTATTTCACTGACTGCCCACTCCTTCAAGATTACAGGAATGTTTGTAACTGGAATGTAAGATTAACTCTTGAGGAGAAAATATCTTCAATATGAGAAAGGACCATAATGAGAATTGCTAGCAATCATCAAATCCTAAAGCTTGTGAAGTCTGTGTTTTATGTCCAAATCATAGAAACCTAAGAAAATAGATATTATCTTTCCTTTAATATGAGAAAGTGAAGTTTAGGGAGAAGACATCATTTGCTGACACAGAGATTCTCAAGCTTCCTAATGTTGAGACTCTTTAATATAGTTCCTCATGTTGTAATGACTCAACCATAAAATTATTTTTATGACCTCATAATTATAATTTTGCTACTGTTATGAATCATAATGTAAATATCTGATACTCAACCCTCAAGGAGGTCATGACACACATGTTAAGAACCACTGTTCTGAAGATTGGCCACTAAATATCTAAATATATAATATATGAATGTGTATCCAATTTAGTTCTGAAGACTGAATAGGTGAAGAAAATCTTCAATTATCAATTCCTCCTTCCCCACTCAAAAAGTTCTCATTATCTAGTAATTTCTGTTGCAAATGAGAATTCCATTACCGGTAGAAACTGGTATTTTAAAGTTTAAATAAATATAAACAGTGCTCCATCTTTACCTGGCCACTTGAAATTGCATAAGCCTCAACAGAACACACAGAAAATACTGCATATAAAATTCCAGATCAAATTGCAATTAATTGTTAATAGAATCATAAAGATTGAATTCTGTTTTTAGGCTTTATTGTTCCCAGGTTGTCAGTTCAGTGAAGATGATGAAAATCCTCATCGATCAGTATACTATGTTCTCCCAAGACAACACAGCATGCACTAAGGGTTACATTATGCTCCCTTCCCACTGAAAGAGCTGCAAAGAAAAAAGGAAAGGAATACTGAAGTCATGACATTTGTACTCAGCAACAACACTCCTGATGTTTTATATCTTTTAACAGTGGATGGATACCAATAAAAATATCAAAATCCCAATGTGTACCATTCTGCAATGGTTCCATCCATCAGTGTCACTTTTTCATTTTGTAAAACACAGCACCTTTGACCCTCATCCCGAGTGACAAGTATCACTTCAAGACTATCTCCATAGTGGATCAACATGTGGATCTGCACATTAATATCTCTCTTTGAAACCCATGCCCTAACAGCCAAGGAGATATAGGTTTTAAGTTGGATTTTACTCAAGAACTATACGCTTGATGTCCCATCCATTTTAAAAGCCTCAACTCAGATTATGACTCCAAAACATACACCCTGCAGAAACAGTCTTTTATATAAAGTACAAAGTTAGAGCTAGTCTTTCAATAGTGGCCCATCTTTGATGCTCATATGAGAAGTTATCCACTTTAATGCAACCATTGTTTGTAGGAAAAAATGTACTAAACTACAATGCCAAAGCTGCTCTGTTATCAGTATTGTAGCTACATATCTATTGCCTCTTTCAACATTAGCAGCATTCATTACTCCTTCTTAAGGGACACAACCTTATATACATACTTATTTTGATGTTTTGCCAACCAAGAAGTTTATAGTTTTAGTCCAACAGAATTTGGAACAATATCACACATCAAAAATTACTATTCTAAGAAAAAAAATAATACCATCTGGCAACATAGGAACATCATGAAGTATAAAAGCAACTAGATTTTCAATGATTAGTGGGAGCTCCTGAGAAATGTCTCCAGGGTTAAAAGCACTTGACACTGTTGCAGAGGACTGCCATTTGGTTTTCAGCACCCACATGGCACCTCACAATTGTGTGTAACTCCCATTCCAGAAAATCAAATGTCCTCTTTTGGCCTTTTATAACTCTGCACTTAATTACTTGCATGTAATCAAAACAACTCATACACATAAAACAAAAAAAAAGATCAGAATCACACAAAAAGGAATTAATACTAACTCTACGGAAAATGTGATAAGATTTAAGTGCCCTGCTTCAGTTCACCCAAAGAATATCCGCGAGGAAGACAGATATCTATGAATGATGCTTCAGAGAAAATAAATAAAATAATAAATAAATATTTTAAAAAGTATTTAGTTAATTAGAAATCTACTCAGAGATAATGTTAAGTGATTACCAGATATATTATGAGCTTCAACTTCATTTTTCTATTTATAATCAGAGACTCTAGCTGGACTGTCCCAGTCAAGATGCCACTTGATATTTTTCATGGGACACATACTTCATTGTTGTGAATTTTCACCATATCGTATATATCAGGGCAGTTTTCACTACTAGAGGGTGATCAGTGACTTGGTTTCCAGTAATCACAGACTATACTCTTGATTCTTCAGGGGCACCATTTCACTGGACAACTGTCGGAGTGCATTTCTCCTTATGCCTGTGTTACCTGTTATTATCTCATACCTGTGAGCCTATGACTGCAATGCATGTTCAGAGACACTGTCATATGTAGATTCATTTATCTATAATAACCAAAAGAGTAGGACTTGAGTAGGACTTCTTCAGACCAAGAGCCTTCTGGAGTTCAACTACAGTCCTAGAGTGATGCCATGGCTGTCTGCCTCCTTAATTTCTGACTCATTAAAAATGATGTAAATTCTTTACCTTTCAAGGTAGCATTGTAACCACCATGGCCTTTTATTAAAAAAAAAATAGGCTGAGAGTATCCGACATACATGTACATGATCATACATAGGCGCGTGCTAGTGCACTCAAATCCTTATAGAATATCCTTTTCAAATGTGATTTTAAAATTAAAGAAGAATATGTTTCTATATCCATGCCTTAAAACTGCC